ATATGGATTAACATTTGATTAAACGTTCTTTTATTTTATTTCATATTTTTGAAAGACATCCTTTATTTTTATTATGAATGAATAACTGTTTTTCTTTTATTTTTTGGATCGATATGATTTCATTTTTATGAATTAGTACAATTAACATTTGATTAAACGTTCTTTTATTTTATTTCATATTTTTGAAAGACATCATTTATTTTTATTATGAATGAATAACTGTTTTTCTTTTATGTTTTTGGATCGATATGAATTCATTTTTATGAATTAGTACAAGAATTTTAGTTTTGAGAGATCGGGTCTTTACAGCTCCGATACAGATAATAATATCGTTATAACCGTTTATCTGTGAAATTAAATTTTTTCCCATGTTATGTGTTCTATCCTCTATCTCTCATGCTTCAACGAAAGCCTCGAAATAGTTAGGTTTTGACACACTAAATGTCAATGCAATTATCCTATAGTACGATATACGGTTTCACTGAAAGATCATATTTACTGGATAGTGATGGATATATGTTTTGTTTCTTAGTTCGGTATCCAAATGTATCGATCCTTTTTAGCGCAACTCAGGAAAGTTAACATTTGATTCTTCTTTCCGGTGACTGGTGCGCTAAAAGGATATTACCAATTGCTGAATCTTGTGTTGGATGAAGCAACAGAGTTTCTTAGAGGTAATTAATACATGTTCAATCTTTTATAGCTCGTTATACTCCGAATTCGATAGAATTCTTGTAGGTAGTATGTTAAATGAGATTTTTTTGAACTGTTGAAACATGTTATTCAATCTCGGTTTACCATACGTTAACAAGTTAATTATGTTTGCTCTTTGTTGAACTATTGGTTATTTATTTTAGCAATTTCGAGCTTATTATATTATTACATTGGATCTTAATTATTTTAGGTGGATTTTGATTCTTATACCATCAGATTTTGTAAAATTTGCATTTTTTTTATTACTTCAGTAAAGAACAGTGTAGCGGAGTGTATTATGTACTTAAGTTGCGAATTCCTTTTAAAGTTCAGTACTAGAATATTATGATGAATTAAGTCACTTGATTTTATAAAAGCAATAGCTTGATGAGTTAATTGTTTTTCTTTTTCATTGTGTAAATTGTAGGTGTCATTTTTTCTTCGGATTTTCTCAATATGCGTCGCTTGGATATACTTAGCGAATTCCTTTTAAAGTTCAGTACTTGAATTTTTTGATGAGTTAAGTTACTTGATTTTATAACAGCAATAGCTTGATGAGTCAATTGTTTTTCTTTTTCTTTGTGTGAATTGCAGGTTTCATTTCTTGGGATAGTGCCAATATGCGTGGCTTGGATATACTCAGAGTATGTGGAACATTGAAAAATTCCTCATCGAAACTGTGAGTCAAAAAAGCTATCTAGATTTTTGACTAAATTTGAAATTGCTGAAATAATTAAGACAATGTGTGGAATATTATGTGTGAAAATGTTTTAAGTGATATATTATGTTTGCTTATAGACGCATTTGTTAAAATGGTATGGACTGCAGCTGCTCGAATAACCTATGAAATTATTTACTAATGTTTTATTATTATGATTTTTTTTTGAGTTATGAGACATATAGAGATTTTGTTGAATTTAACGAGTGTGTTCTCTTGTGTGAATTCTAACTGAAGCCAAGAGGCTCAAAACAATAGTGACGAACATAATGTTAATGTACAATTCTCTGTGTTTTCATCCAATTCTTTGGGATTTTGTTACATTAGTAATGTACTGTAAATCCAGATAGATATCTATGACCAACTTGGATAGAGTAGAAAGTCGAGTCATAATTCTAGCTTGTTCACATAGATAAAATCAGACATTTTGACTTCCTATGGACATGAAATGCTAAAGATAGATATCTATGACCAACTTGGGAAGTTTAGAAAGTCGAGTCATAATTCTAGGCTCTAGCTTGTTGAAATTGATAAAATCAGACATTTTGCCTTACTATGGACATGATATACCGTGTTTTTTTAATTGGAGTTATTTGAGTTTCCTGATTTATCTGCTTGTCAATTATTTAATATCACTTGAATAATTCTTTCTTTTTGTTTGTTGATTATATCACTGTAAAATAGCCTAAAATAGTTGTCCCCTTTTCCTCTAATACTATGTAACTTTTTTGGTTCAGTGCAAGATAATTTTTCCAAAAAAATGAACAAGTATGTTTCAATCATAACGTAGAATCTACAAGTCACGTTAATAAGCATTCTGAGCATTTGTTTAAAAATTGTCAAGTGCCAAATGTCAATATATTATATTATAATCAGTTAGTCACAATTATAGTCCCGCATGCACATCTAAAAATTTCCTTCTTTCTTTGAATGCAGTAAAGGGGCTCAACTTGTTTTATTAAATGCCTGAACCAAGCTCCACCATCAAACTAAGAGGTATCTTAATCTTATTATGAATTACAGTCCCGTTCTAACTTCCAAATCCCGCCACCTCTTCACTAAGCTCCTCGACTACACCCACGGAAAAAACCTTCCAAAAGGCAAGTCCATCCACGCCCACCTCCTCAAAACAGGCGTATTCCCTTCCTGCCCATTTCTGTCCAACACCCTCGTCAACTTCTATGCCAAATGCCACCTCTTCTCTGAAGCCCATCTCGGGAAACATGTTTAAAGCATGTTTCTTACTGTCTCGTGGAACTGCCTCATCAATGCCTACTCTCAATTGAGCCTTCGTCACTACTCCTCTCGAGCTCTTCAAGGAAATGCCCCAACACCACACCCTCCCAAATTCCCACACTTTTGTTGGCATTCTATCATCTACTGCCATGTTGGAGGACTCCGTGATTGCCCACCAAGCCCATTCTTTGGTGGTTAAATTGGTTGACTCCTGTGATGTTTTTGTGTATAGTTCTTTGTTAAATGTGTATTGTAAGTTGGACGATTTGAACTATGGTTGAAAAGTGTTTGATGAAATGGCTGAAAAAAATTCTGTCACTTGGGCTACCATGATTTCTGGGTACGCCTCGTAGAGGCTTACTAAAGAGGCTTTTAGTCTTTTTAGAATGATGGCAGCTGGAGGAGGCGAGGGTGTGAACGAGTTTGTGTTGACCTATGTTGCTCGAACTCGGCATTTTGGTCGCCATACCCGTGTCGACACGACATGACACGGGTACGGGTACGGAATTCGGGTCGGAGACGGCAAAATTCAACCGGACACGGCCAGGGAAGAAGAAAAAGAAGTCACGTAGGGAAGAAGAATAACAAGAAGCCACAAGAAGAAGAAGGAGAAGATGAGCCAGAAGAAGGAGAAGATGAACCTGCGGTGCTGCCAGAAATGCAGAGACGTAGGGTAGAAGAAGGAGGGAGTTGGACTAGGCCTATTTTTTGTTTCCAAGTTTTGGGCCTGTTTTTTGTTTCTATTGCTGTTTTTTTTTCTTTTTTTTTTTAAAAGAAGTTTATTCA